CGCGCGCAGATCCTGATGCCTCGCCAGCACCCAGCTGCAGGCCCATTCCAGCAGCGCCTCGCGCACAGACCCTGATGCCAAACTCCAGCGCCCAGCCTCAGGCCAACACAGCAAGTGTCGCGCGCGCCCACAACAATGTNTTAAGGGGGACCAAACAATCAAACATTTCAAGCAAGCATTTTTCTGGTGTCTCTCCCCCTCGACGCCACATCTTTGTAATCATCATTTCAGTCATCAATAAAATCATCATCATCATTCAAAACCCAATTCACTCAGCTTCCGCAATTGCTCATGACATTGGTTTTCCCGCACGACACTGATAATCTAGTCTAGCGTGCGGAGGGGACCTCATTGGCGGACCGCAACCGCACTGACATCGGTTGCTTAGCCTTACGTTGCCCTTCCAAAGAACATCAGGAAGGCGTTGTGTAACAGCTCTCATGTTAAATATTGCTAAATAAAGAACCAATTTCGTTCGTTTTATTATGCCTTAACAGTTTTGTATAGGGTATCTTCGCATCAATCAACTAGGTCCGAAGAGTGATCGACTAAAATATTAGAAAGGCTATAATTCATCCCTTCAACTTTGAAGCCGATCTAAAAAAGATTGATACTCCTTTTTATAGTATTTAGTGATAGCTTAATTTTAAAATTTTTACTTTACCTTTGATGTAAAAATCTATACCGAAATTTTTATGATTTGTTTTGAATCACAAGTTTAATTTGTTTTTTCAATTCTCATTGCCCCCAATTTTAGTGTTCACTTTTACTTTTTAATATTTATCTTCAAATTTTAAAAGCAAACAAGTAAAATCCGTTATGTTTGGATTAGAGGTGCATTCAAAGAAAAACCTTAGCATAAGAAGCCAACCAAATGCGTAAAAATATAACGCTTTGTTTTGTGTCTTCAAATATCATCTATAGGTACTTGTCACGTCCTTAGTTGTCAACTAAGTACATGCGCGACACTTGACAACCGCTCACGATCTTGCACAATTTGCTCACGTTTTTGCTATGCCAAGTCAGCCTTACTACACTTAAGATCGCTAAGAGAATGGTAGAAAGAACACAAGAAAATTGTTAAAGGAAATTTTGTAATAGAGAGAACCTGAATTGTTTGCTTGGTGATTTACAAATGAGTGCCCCCCTTTATATACTAGTTTCCTAGGGGCTAGTGTGCAAATTCATAGGGATCTAGGGTCTTCCAAAGGAAATGCCCATACTTCTTTAGAATTTTCTCACAAATGCTAGCCTTCCTCCTATCTAAGCTTCCACATAGAATTAATATATGCCAAATGGCACTATGTGACATGATGACATGGCAGGTCATCACACTCTCCCCCACATAATGTGGCGACAACCACGGCGCAATGCTGCTGCATAAACTCTCAGATTTTATCTTTGAATTGCCATAAGTCTTCATATCTTTCCCATGTGACCTCTTCCGATGATTTCCCCTTCCAATGGACGAGGAACATAGCGGTAGCTTTCTGCCCTTGTTTTCGCCTGTCCTGGTAATCCATGATAGCCTCAATCTCCCGATTATGTGAGGCGATGATAGTAATAGGTGCTCGACTTGATTGACCCCTACTCGAATCATCCTTATCTTCATGATATGGCTTAAGCATGCTAGCATGGAAGATAGGGTAGATCTTAAGATACGATGGCATGCCAAGCTTGTATGAGATCTTGCCTACCTTGGCAACGATCTTAAATGGCCCCTCATACTTGCGAATCAAATTCTAATGCATGCCCCGTAGTGCCTTGAACTGTCTTGGGTTAAAATTTACCATGACCATGTCCACAACTCTATAGTCCATGGGATGCCGCTTACGGTCTGCAAATGTCTTCATCTTTTTAGCTGCCTTATCCAAGTAGGACTTAGCAATGTCAAGCTGCCCCTCCCATCCTTTGGCCATATGATAAGCCCCCAAACTCTTTCCCTCGAATGCGGCTGGTAATGAATGTGGAGTTTGTGGCTGTTGGCCTGTAGCTAGATCAAATGCTGTCCTCCCCGTGGACTCACTCCGCTGCAAGTTATAAGAGAATTGGGCGATGTCTAGGAGCCTTGCCCAATCTTTCTGATGCGCGCTTACATAATGCCTCAAGTAGCATTCTAGTAAGGCATTGACCCGTTCCATTTGTCCATCCGTCTGTGAGTGTAAACTATTGGAAAACTACAGTTCCGTACCAAGTATGTCGAATAACTCTCTCCAAAAATTTCCAGTAAAAGGGTCTCGATCACTAATAATATGCATTGGTAAGCCCCAATACTTCATCACATTCTTAAAGAATAGCTTGGCGGCTTCCTTGGTAGTGCAACCTGGTAAGGCGGGCATGAATGTAGCATATTTGGAAAATCTATCTATGACCACCATTATATTACCATAACCGTCGGACTTTGGTAGGCAAGTGATAAAGTTCATATTCCCGCTCTCTAAAGGACGCTCTACAATTGGTAGTGGCTTTAAAAGTCCTCATGGTTGTTGTTACTCAACCTTGTCCTGTTGGCAGACAAGACAAGTCTGCACATAACACTCTATGTCATCTCGCATGGGTGGCCAATAGTAGACTGACTCAACCAAGGCCTTAGTGCGACGTTGGCCTGGATGACCAACCCGCATTGTGTCATGAATTTCCCTTATGATCTGCCATCTAATGTCTCCAAACTTAGGCACGTAGACTTGTCGACCCGTAGTAAGTAATAAGTCGTCTTCTATCCAAAAATGTCTCGTCTTGCCTTGGTTGGCTAACTCGATAAGCTGTTTGGCTGCTGGATCATGATCCATGCCTTCTTTTATAGCCTCACAAATGTCCCAACTTGCTGAAGTGATGGCATCAAGCTCGGTTTTCCGGCTTAAGACATCGGCTATGACGTTACCTTTGCCCAGCTTATATTCCAACATATAATCAAACTCGGCCAAGAAATCCTGCCACCTAGCCTGTTTTGGTGTGAGCTTTTTCTGCATCTGGAAGTAGCTAGTAGCCACATTGTCGGTCTTGACCACGAACCTCGACCCAAGCAAATAATGTCGCTATGTACGAAGGCAATGCATAATGACAATCATTTCTTTTTCTTGCACCGTGCAACGCCACTCAGTCTTATTTAACTTGCAGATCTCAAACGCTATGGGGTACTTATCCTACATGAGGACACCCCCAATGGCAAAGTCTGAGGCATCTGTATGCACCTCAAATATCTTGGCAAAATCAGGTAACACCAAGACTGACTCTTCTATTACAGCTGCCTTAAGGCCTTCAAATGACTTTTGCCAATACTCGGTCCAAACCCATAACTTGTTCTTCTGTAGCAACTCAGTCAATGGTGCGCCCTTGATTGAGTAGCCACTAATAAACCGATGATAGTAGTTAACAAGGCCAAGGAAGGAACTCAACTCAATTACCTTATAGGTGCCTCCCACTCCTGGATAGCACGTACCTTAGCTTCTTCCATGCGTAGATCGCTATTGCTAATGAAATGGCCCAAAAAGTGCACCTTTGAATGTGTAAACTTACATTTCTCTCTCTTGATGTATAGCTCGTTCTCCTGCAAGACTTGGAAAACCTTCCTTAAGTGCTCCATGTGTTCCTTTAAGGTGTTGCTGTAGATGATGATAGGTAGACTACCACAAATTGATTAAGGTAGAGATGGAAAATCTTGTTCATAAGGGTGCAAAATGTGGCCGGTGCATTGGTTAAGGCGAAGGGCCTCACCAACCACTCAAAGGGTCCATATCTCATCACACATGCTATCTTCGGCTCATCCCTTTTTGCAATGCAAACTTGGTAGTAGCCCTTGCGAAGATCCACCTTGGTAAAGTACTTGGCTTGCCCAAGTCTATCGAACGAGTCATCAATAAGCGGGATTGGGTACTTATTCTTCACTATGACCTTATTAAGTGCTCGGTAGTCAATGTACAAGCGCAATGATCCAACCTTCTTCTTTTGGAACAATACCAGTGCGCCGAAATGTGCCTTTGATGGGTGAATATGACCAGCATCTAGTAGCTCTTTCAATTCTTTTCTGAGCTCCTCCAGCTCGGGCGGTGCCATACGATATGGGGAAAATGGTGGTGGTTTAGCCCCTGGATCCAACTCAATCTTGTGATCCAACTCTCGCATAGGCAGCAAGTGATTAGGCAACTCTTCGGGCATGATATCTTTATTTTCCTCAAGAAACTTCTCTATGCAAGGCGGTAGCATCTCTTGAAAACTCTTGTCTTCCACCAGGTAGGCAATGGTTGCCACAAACGCCGGTTCCCTTTCTTGATCCCCTTGACAACCTGCATAGTTGAGAGTTGTTCTTGGCTCTGTCCATATGGCATAGTTGCTATAAGTACCGTGCTAGCTCCTTCTCGCTCCATAACCAAGAGACGTTGGAGTTAGGGTTCGATAAAAGTATGACAATGTCTAAAGAAATCTTGCTCCAGTATGATGTCAAAGATATCAATAGCAGTTACGGAAAAGTTTGTCATAGCTTTCCAAGTTCCCAATTTGACACCAACTTCATTAGCTACCCTACTAGCATTTTGTAGCCCGGCATTCACGGTCTTGACATGAGAGTTGTTTGGAGCAAGCTTCAATCTTAGTCTCTTTGTGGCAATTCTTGGTCACGAAATTATGAGTTGTATCAGTATCCACCATTGCACGAGCGAACTTGTTATTGATGGTGAGATCATTGATTGTCGTTCTTGTTAGGTTGGATAGCTTGCTTCGTGACATCACCATATAATCCGATCATACCCAACTGTTTGGTTCCCGAACTCTCTCCTTACGACTGCTCCTTCCGTTCACAGACCATGGTACTGAGGCTCTTGAGGTCAGGACAATTCCTGAAGCTGTGCGGTCCTCCGTATATATAGCATCCCTTCTTTTCGGCCTGCGCCTTCTTCTCAGCGTAGCCCTAACGGCCACTCGACTTTTTGGAATCTTGACTCTTGGAGTATTATTGTTGTATATCCTTGCCTTTGCCACGGTCTTCCCCACCTTTGATATTGCTAACCTTTAACTCCTTGCCTTTGGCTTTTCCGTGCTTGTCATGCTTGAAATCCATCAATGATTCAGCCTCCACTATGGCTTGGTCTATATCTGCGACTTGCCGATGTTGTAACTCCTGTTTAGCCCAATTTTGCAATCCGCCCATGAAGTGGAACAACAAGTCATCACTGGTCAGGTTGGTAATTTGAAACATCAAGGTAGTGAACTGCTTGACATAGTCACGTATGCTCCCTGTTTGCTTCAACTCCTTAAGCTTGCGCCTTGCCTTGTACAAGACATTATTTGGAAAGAACTGTCGCTTGAACTGGCTTTGAACTGATCCCATGTGCTAATAGTACATAAACCTTTATCCACGTCACCCATCTTCCTTCTCCACCATAGCATGGCAGTCTCTGAGAGGTACAACACGACAATGTTGATCATGGCCTCGTCGTCCCTCACTTTGCCGTGTCTGAAGTAGTTCTCTAAGTGCCAAAGAAAGTTTTCCACTTCTTGTGCATCGAGAAAAACTTTGAATATCAGGGGTTTGGGAGCCTCGATCTTGGCCTCCCTCGTCACCACAACATTGTTGGCTACCTCGGACATGCCAGCATCAACATGCTCATCGAGTGACTCTATCTTTGCCTTCATAGCATCGATAGTACTCAAAGCCTCCATAAGTCTTCACTTTAAGGCAGTGATGGTTTGCCTTAGTTCCATCTCGGTCTGTGTACGTCCCTCCAATTTATTTTGGATACTCTCAATTTCTTCAAGAGTGTGTCCTTCAAGAATTCTAAGGATGCCTTCCACTTTCCCCATTGGCCAAAGATCTCGACGACGTCCATCCCCGTGTTGACCTTCATCACCCGCTCTTTACCGGGTGAGACATCCTCGGGCAGGACCTCCACTTCATCCTCGCTCGCCTCAGTGGCAGATGGTTCTTGAGATGTAAGCCCTTCATTTGACACAACCTCGGGTGGCATATCCCGACTCTTGTTAAAAGCAAACAAGTAAAATCCGTTATGTTTGGATTAGAGGTGCATTCAAGGAAAAACCTTAGCATAAGAAGCCAATCAAATGCGTAAAAATATAACGCTTTGTTTTTGTGTCTTCAAATCTCATCTACAGGTACTTATCACGTCCTTATTCACCAACTAAGTACATGTGCGGCACTTGACAACTCGCTCACAATCTTGTACAACTTGCTCACGTTCTTGCTATAGTCAGTCTTACTACACTTAAGATCGCTAAGAGAATGGTAGAAAGAACACAAGAGAATTGTTAAAGGAAATTTTGTAATAGAGAGAACCTAAATTGTTTGCTTGGTGATTTACAAATGAGTGACCCCCATTATATACTAGTTTCCTAGGGGCTAGTGTGTAAATATTAATTGTTATGCAATTCCTTAGTATTTACAAGATAAGAGCTTTCTCCAGAATTCTCTATAAGCCTAGAAGATTCCAAAAACTTTCCTAGCAAATCCATAGGGATCTAGGTTCTTCCAAAAGAAATGCCCATACTTATCTAGAATTTTCTCACAAATGCTAGCGTTCCTCCTATGTACGCTTCCACATGGCATTAATATATACCAAATGGTGCCAATGTGGCATTATGACGTGGCATGTTATCAAATACTTCTTTGTTCTATTTTATGTAATATTTTTTCCTTTTTAGTCTAAAAAAATAATATATTTTTTATTTTATGAAATAGTTTTATTTTAATTTTTTTATTTTATCCTGAATGATATATTTTATAGGCACAAAAATGTCATGACATGTTAATCACCATAAATTTCTAATTTTTAAATATTTTTTCTTAAGCTTTTGGCTCAATCAAATACTATTCCATAAAACAAAACTGAAAGTATTAAGAACCTATCATAATTATTTGTTAAAGACTAAAGTATAAGATATAAAGAAATAAAAATTCTAAACAGTCTTTTAAATATTCTTCTACTCCCCTAGTTTTAAGGAAGGGGTAAAACTTAAAAGGAAAAAAACAGAACATAAACGGTAGCTCAGTTATGTGACCCAACAGTAGAGAGAGTTCAGGATCTTGAAGAAAACACACACACACACACACAGAGTGAAGCAGAAGAATGGATTCATCTTCATTAACATGTAAAAAGCTAACAGTAATTACAGTATTAGCTGTTTTAATCCAAGTAATTGGCCTTGCTGTTTTTGTTCTTGGTTTCTTCCCTGTAAAGCCAGCACTCTCTGGATTCAGGTACTCAACAATTAATTCCTTTCACATTTTATATAAATGAAACAAATTAGATTTTTTAGTTTCATTTTAGAGAATTCAAGAATGTAATTTTGTATTCATATTTTCTTCTTCTTCTTATAAGAGGTTGGGAGTTTCATTTGCATTCTAGAAAATCCAAGAATTGAGGTATTATTTATTGTTTTCTTAAATTTCTTGCATTGTTTTAATTTAGAAAAGACCTTTTTTTTTCCAGTGGGGTAGAGAGTTTTTATCAACCTGGAGCAGATTCAGCTAAGTTTCAGAATACCACCAATTTATCAGAAAGTCAGCTCAAATATTTGTACCAGGTTGGTTTCCTTTTTTTTTTTTCGTGGCTTGGGGAAGGGATTTTTGGATTAAGAAGATTATATTTGTAGTTAAAAGAATTCATTCATTCATATTGTGTCAGCTTAGATATTGTGTTATCCCATTTATATGAAGTAGTACTATATATAACATATTTTATTGTGTATTATGCATAATTGTATACCATTTGGTATGTTACTGAATTTGTTAAGGTTCTTGAAAATTTGAAGCTTTTTGAGATTTTACAATGTCTGTTCCAATAGCATGCCATGTTGTTTTCTGGTGTACATTAGGTATTATTGTGTGTGTTATTATAAATACAATTTGGCATGTTACAAAATTTGCTAAGGTTCTTGAAAGTTTGAAACTTTTTGAGATTTTACAGGAATGTATGTTCCAATAGCATGTTATGTTGTTTTCTGGTGTACATTTGATGCCATTGTTTTCTTGCCCTTAACAGTTATGGTCGTGAATTTGGTAAAACTGCAGGAATTGTCTTTGGTGCCTCCTTTATTTGACCGCTTGATACTCATGGTGAGTGATTTTGTTAGTTTAATCTTGCCCAAAAGTGTTTTAGTGATGTTTGAAATCTAGGGGGCAACTTCTGGATGTTGCCATGCTTTCTTGTTAGGAATAAAGCTTATATTTTTTGCTGATAAAATCAAATTTCTTAGGTCATTGATGGTCTTCCAGCCGAATTCGTTCTTGGGAAAGATGGTCAACCTCCGCAGAAAGCTTTCAAGGAAGCTATGCCATATACTCAATCATTATTGAGTAAGGGAAGGGCGATTGGTTATCATGCGAAGGCTGCACCTCCCACTGTCACAATGCCTCGCTTGAAGGTAACCAAAAGGATTTTGGAGAAACTTTCTGTTTGGAAAAGTAGGCTTCTCAATAGTTGTGTGTTTGCAGGCCATGGTTTCTGGTGCTGTTGGGGGATTTCTGGATGTTGCTTTCAATTTCAACACGCAAGCTCTGTTGGATGACAACATAATTGGTTAGTTGGAAAATCCTTGTTAAGATTCTATTTGATAAAGTAGAAAATCCGTGTTAAGTTATAGTTTATTAATTGATTAAGCGGTTTACAGATTAGATGCCTTAACATGGCCCATGGTTTCTCTTCCTGTTACAGTGCAATTTCTAAAAGTTGGTTGGAAAATCGTGATGCATGGTGATGACACATGGCTTAAATTGTTTCCTGGAATGTTTTCGAGGCATGATGGCGTTAGCAGTTTCTTTGTAAGTCTGCTTTAATACCAGGAAGTTGAAGCATTCTTATTCAATAACACTTATTTCTCTCCTTTTGCTATTGTGGTGGTGTAGCTATTTTCTCCCCTTTGCTTGTGTAGTTTGTTCTGTCACACTCATCTGTTAAGTTAGTTTTCTTTCCAGTTTTGTGTGATTTTGAGTATCATTTCCTTCATTTATTCTCTTTAATTTACTTGATTTGCGAAAACATAGAAAGTGTCTTCAGCCATGCTAGTGAAATACCATTCTTTCAGTTATTTGTTGGATTGGATATCTTGGAGGTGAAGGATGTAATCTACAACTAGGTTAAGATCAGAATGCTGCTTAAGGTGTAAGATTTAAATCTGCTTGTACGTGGTGCTGAAAAGTTGAAGTTGTTTAGCTGCTTATGGAATTCATCCTGCAGGTTAAAGACACTGTCCAAGTAGATCAAAATGTATCTCGACACTTGGTTGATGAACTTGGTCGCACTGACTGGAGTCTTCTGGTAATCTAGTTGTCCCTTCTATTCTACCCTTTATTTGTTAAGACATTTTCTAGAACCGGTTAAACGTTGCATGTGTAGATATTTAAATATCAGGCTTTGGTGTATATAGCCCAATCCTGACTTTTGAGTTTTGCTTTGGCTGAATAGGAGGTCTCTCAATTTTGGGAAATACGGTGCTACAAGGCTCCTAGGCCCGCAATGAGCAACACTTCATCACAGTCTTCAAGAAAAAATGGCAAGCAAATATCTAGTATATATGGGCTTAGTCCCAGTGTTATCAAAGGCAAAAACCGCAAAAAGCTCTAAGATCCGTTGAGACTTTAAGCACAAAGTGCAAATAAAGCGTGAGCTTTAACGAAGAAAGACGCAAATGGAGAAAAAATACAAATATGTATATGTAGTCAAAAACTAATAATTATAAGTATGAACAACAAATGTATGGACAAAGAAATTGAAAAAAATTACGACAAAGTGAAATATCATTTGCTTAGTGTCACCTCTTCAGGATTACACTCATTGGAAAGGAAAAGTATGCCTTAGAGCCTTGATGATGACACTGAAATACCCACTAAGCGAGGTGAAGCGATCAACATGTTTTGTACCTTGCTTCAGGGCTTAAAAGCGCCTTTGACAACACTGCTTAGTCCTTATACTGAATATGTCATATAATCTCACTGCAGTCAGGAAAAAAAATTAGTATATAAAATCAACTGAGAGAAAACAAAAAGAACATAATAGGAGTAATATAGTTAAAGAAGAAGCAGACCCAGTGGCAGCAACCAGAAGAAAGAAAGCAACTGCTGGCTTTCTGTCTAACGATAAGCAGTAATTATTGTCCTTAATCCCAACTCAGCCTACGAAATCATCATTATCATCATCACGTTATTGTGTACTTTTGTCTAGGTTTCATCGTCATCTCATCATTATTGATGTTTGTAATTTAACAAGGTTTATATACTTTGACATGTGATCTGGAAAATGCCTATCCCAAGCAAATTAAGTTTTAGCTTAGCTAGCGGTATGAAAAGTTGTTCCTTCCATAAACTGAGGCAATCTAAGTTTTGGTTAGCATTGGAAAGAGAGATCAAGATCAATTGCTGCAAGTAGAGGAAGAGTGCTTCTCTCCCCTAGGGCTTTCCTCGACGTAGAAAGTTAAGTGAATGGAGCTCACTTCATTGAACTTGCTATTCTTGTGAAGTGATCTTCGCTACATGCTTTGCTTTTGACGAAAGTGCAAGGCCTCGCCGCTTAAGTTTTGGCCAACTCAGCCTCTAAGGCATTGCTTTTTCTTTGCCTGGTTTAAGTGAGGACCTAGTGCTTCTTACAAACTGATTATCACTATTTTTACCACTAATCAGATGCTGAAGTAAACAAATTTTCCTTCTTGAGTATATAGTGAACTGGTCTTCATATAGGATTTAGTTCCAGAATCTGTTGCTTTGAGAGCTCAAATTTTCAACATGATTCTTATGTCTTATATTCTAAGGTCATACATGTATAGTTCTCCTTCCATTGAATAACTATATTTGCATCCTAATTGCCGGTTTTGTGAACATGCCCGATTGATGTTTCAAATTCCAACTAACTCTAGTATTGAACAGCTTCCTTTTTTGAGAATAATTGTTTCCTACATACGTGGAAATCATTATTGAACTAGCAGATACACCTAGATTTTCTAGTACAAGATCCTTTTAAATTAATTTTACAGAGAGTCTATCTTGCATATTGTGTTCAGAATTTTCCTTTCAAAATAGCTGAAAGTAATCCCTCCTATCAAAATGGCTAAATCATTTCCCTTCTGAATGTGGCTTGCGTTGGTCAGTTATATTCTAAATGAGGCATCATATGAGATCCATGAACATGTTGCTGATGGTTCATCTGATTCTTTCTGTGGAATTACTTTTTTGTTTGCCACTACTTGATTTAACATAAGCTTGCACTATTTCAGATTCTTCATTATCTTGGCTTGGATCATGTTGGACATCTTGGTGGACGCAATAGGTGTTGCCATGTTACTTTTGGATAGAGTTTTTGAAGAAAAAAGACGATAATTCATTCATAACATATTCTTTGGGTGTTTATTACAGTGTGCTGATGGCCCCCAAACTTGGAGAGATGGATGAAGTGATCAAGACCATCGATCTAAATTCTTTACCTACAAATGATAATAATCAAGGACGGACACTCTTGGTTCGTGCTTCTTCCTTCTCTCCAAGAGTTGTGTAGATTACTTAATAAGCTAACAGTTTGCTGCTATATTCCGGACGTAGGAGCATTTCCTTGTTATAGATATGAAATAGTAACAAGTGGTCAATTACTGTTGCTTTTAACTTTGACATTCAAGTACTTGCCTTTTTCTTTTCCTTCTCCCCTTTTCAATAATTAACTAATTCTGAAGCTTACAGCTAACATCATAACAATGTGTGCGATTCACAATCCGATAGAGACCAACTGTTTAAAATGCATCAGGCCTTCGTCATGATACAATTATAGTAGAGACATCTGGCATCATGTGTTTATTATTCCTTTGGATTTTCTCCAATGTGACTACTCATAACTGTATCTTGGATCATTGAAAGAGAAATGTAAAACCTACATCACTGTTGTCATATGCAAAACGGTCCAAAGTTTGCTAGGGCTTTATGCGCAAAGTGTAATTAAAGTGTGAGATTTAGTAAAGAAAAGTGTAATGAGGAAAAAATAAAATATATACATGTAATGTGCACAAAAAATGTAGGCACAAAAAATTATATGAACAAGAAGTCGCTGCAGTATGGTGGAAAAATCATAACTGTGGAATCTTGCTGGAAATGTTGCTAGAGATGTGATAGTTTTGGAAATAGGGGTGTCATTGGAAAGAGATGCGGTATCACTGGAATGGTGGAAACAGGTGCAGTGCAGAATGCCATCGATAAGGAAAGAAACACAGTGAAACGTAGTGCCACCAAAGAATCACCCGAAATAGATATGGTGCTGCAAAATGATCACCAAATATAAGTGTCTTTCATTGGACCACTTACCAAAAAGATACAAGAATAGCAGAATTCCAGAAAGCCTCGGGCCTGACATAAGCTTTTTTACTCTTCATCATGATCATAGAGGCTCTGATACCATGTGATTAAATGGAAGAAAAGTAGGTCTCAAATACAATAGACACATGATATTTGTCCAATGAGGGACTATATCTAACTTAAGAATTTAACAGAACTATTATTCCAACACTAAGATTCCAATCCTAACACTTACTGTTCCAGCTTTCCATGTTAAGAACTACAATCCTTTCTCTTAAACCACAGGGCGACGAGGACTTTTTTGCTAAAAGGGATCAAAGGGGGTGATTTAGACTTATCTGCTTCTTTGGTAAAATGTTACTACGGTTTAGTCCAATAAGCCAGCGCATCCTTGACATACCTGTGGATCCAAACACGATTTGGATTTTGATTGGCCCCACAGCCAATGTATTTGCAGAAAAAGTTTCTATAGCCATATAGCGTTTAGCACTGAAACAGGATCAAGGCAGACAAGCTCCATGTGTAGTTGCTAAATGGAGGAAAACCAGTTTACTTTTCTTTTCTGAAATTTTATGCTTATGTAGATTTTTTTTCTTCTTTATAGCTTTCTTAACATCTGTCTATGGTAATGTGACAGTACTCACTTAATATTCCTGTTGAATGATGTAAGTGCTGTGGCATACTCTAGTTTTTGAAGATATCATTTAATTACTCAACAAATACCATATTGCAATATCCTGACAATGGTAATCCCTTGTCTTTTTTATATTACGCACCCATCTGCAGTTGGTAGTAAGTGACCATGGAATGACTGAAAATGGAAATCACGGAGGATCATCATATGAGGAAACTGACTCTTTGGCACTTTTTATTCGTTCAACAAATTTTGGAAGTACATCAGGCACCCCTAATAAGGCCAACCAGGTATGTGGCTATGAATTTTACAGTTGATGAATATTTAATGGACAATTTCATTAGTAGAAATTGGAATCACAGCCATTTCTTACCATTTGCGTGTTTATCTCAAGAAACAGTTATTTGTGCTAGGTGGATAAGGGCAGCAGTACCTCCATTCTGATTAGTATGCTTTAAGAAATAGCCAAGTTAGCAGAAAGTCACTAACATATAGCTAGTGTTTCACCCATGTTTTGCGTGGAGTTAATACAAAACGATGCAATATTGGCTTTTCAAAATAGAAATCGAAATAAAAGGATTGGTAGAATAAGAATTGTCAAAAGTAATTTTATGAGTAGTGATTTTATGCCATAGTCTTTATTGAATGCTTAGGAGGTTTTCATTTAAAAAAGAAGAAGATATCTTTGATAGTAGTTGCAGGTTTCCTTAATTGCATTAATAAGACTGATGCGATCATCAGCTTATTTATTTATTTATATTTATATATCTGGTGTTTCAGGTGGACCTTGCTTCAACATTAGCTCTTCTTTTTGGTGTTCCAATACCGAAGAACAACGTTGGCATGTTGATGGCAGAAACTTTCAAATCATTAACAGGTCTGATTTGGTAGTTTATGTTGTTAATGTCTGAGGCATATAGAATGTTGATATTCTGGTGATAATTGTTAAGTGTCAGAATATGTGTTACATTGTGTTGATGACTATCTAAGTAGGAGAATCTGTGGAGCCTATGTTTGGAAATCCTGTTGCCTTCTGCATTCCCAAGTGAGGCATGGTCTTGAGGAATTGAAATCTGTATTTTTTCTTCATCTGGTTCTGTGTATCGGAACAACAAATGAAAAAGTTTCTAGCACAGTTGTTCAAGTTACCTGTAATTCATCCAATGACTAGTCCAGACTTCTGAATTGTTTCCACTTTTATCAAACTGGTTCTAAGCTTACTTAATATATTCTGACTGCAGTCTTATTGGCTGTTGTTGATTGAACGTGAAGTTGAGATGGCACAAATTATGTCATGTTTAATCATGGGAGTTAAAGGGAATTTAATCTAGTTTGGTTGCTAATGATGCAATCAAAGTTTTACAAGGGGTGCTTTTCCTATGTTCCTCACAATTTTTGAAAGCTTTCAGAGAATCCCAGTTTATACATATGCCTTGTGGTTCGAAAATTATCACAGGCTGTTAGCTTGATTTTCGACTGGAGAATGAAACTGGTTGCTGCTATATGCAGTTTCCCACACTCAAAAAATCACTTTTGGATATTGGCATCTATTTTATTTAACGATGGATACTAGAATGGACATTTTGAGGGCTTAATTCTAACATGACTGAGATGGAGAGTTTTCCCTGATGGCTCATGATAGTGAATGCTAGTTCATTCGAGGGTGGAGTTCCTCAGAGTAAAATGGGCTTCACCATGGATCAAATTGAAGTATGCATTTTTAATATTATACAACAACAACCCAGTATAATCCCACTAGTCGGGTCTGGGGAGGGTAGAGTGTATGCATACCTTACCCTATACCGGAGGGGTAGAGCATTTTTAATATTATGAAGCCTAATATTGAGAAGTTATACTTTGACTCCTGAAAACTTGTCGTTGGAGTACCTTGAATAGGTTCAGGCTAATGGGAATGGTCGAAATTATCATTAACCTTGGTGCTCAAGTCCGACAAGATAAAACAGGCTAGATTGAATATCCTGATCGCGGCACACTTTCTATTAAATGGAAGACATAAATAGCAGCATATATAGTTGTCTGAATATATTTTTTAGTCCTGTCATTTTTCGTGATCGTCTTGTGACTCTTGTTAAAATCATGTATTATCGTCATCTCTTGAAATGTATATGGCTAAAGTTAGTCACTTTCCTCTCTCATTTTCTTCTAGTATTTCAGTTGAACAACAACTCAGGTTATTGGAGTTGAATTCCTGGCAATTGCTTAGGCTACTTGAAGCGCAATTACCTGGTTTAGTATGTGAAAACTTCTTATGCGACGTCTTCAGGGATGATGGATCTGGTCGAACAAGAGGTTACAGTAGTGTGGAAGAGACCTTTTGTTGTTTGTATTTGAAGGCTGCAGATCTTCACAGATTGTGGAAATCTGGGGAAGAGAAAAGGTGGTTGACGGTTTGTAATAAGCTATCTGACACACTTTTTCTCAGAACTTTTATTTGGGGAAAATACTAATTCTTGTGTTGCTTTCTTCTCATATTTGGTGTAGATCTGCTAATGAGGACAATTGTCACAGTATTCTTGTGGCATATCATAATTTCTTAAGAACTGCAAGTGAGTGGCTATCTCATAGGGCAACTGACGTGAGTTTAACCTTATAAAAGTTTTCTTTTGCATTTCCAGAAAGTAGTAGACCATATATAACTATCTCATGCAAGACCTAGTGAATAGAAGAGTGTTCCACGACTTTTTTATTCCCCAGTATTACTTCCTTTTTGAAATATTCTTATAGTTTTTATTTTATGTTTTTTTCAGAAACCTGTTGGCCGACTTATAATTGGAGTAGCAGCTATACTCGTTTCATGTTTGATATTGCTAAGCCTTCTGTTTCTTCTAGGGAAGCAAGTCTTCTCTGAGCAGAATCAGCAGCNTAGTCCTGTCATTTTTCGTGATCGTCTTGTGACTCTTGTTAAAATCATGTATTATCGTCATCTCTTGAAATGTATATGGCTAAAGTTAGTCACTTTCCTCTCTCATTTTCTTCTAGTATTTCAGTTGAACAACAACTCAGGTTATTGGAGTTGAATTCCTGGCAATTGCTTAGGCTACTTGAAGCGCAATTACCTGGTTTAGTATGTGAAAACTTCTTATGCGACGTCTTCAGGGATGATGGATCTGGTCGAACAAGAGGTTACAGTAGTGTGGAAGAGACCTTTTGTTGTTTGTATTTGAAGGCTGCAGATCTTCACAGATTGTGGAAATCTGGGGAAGAGAAAAGGTGGTTGACGGTTTGTAATAAGCTATCTGACACACTTTTTCTCAGAACTTTTATTTGGGGAAAATACTAATTCTTGTGTTGCTTTCTTCTCATATTTGGTGTAGATCTGCTAATGAGGACAATTGTCACAGTATTCTTGTGGCATATCATAATTTCTTAAGAACTGCAAGTGAGTGGCTATCTCATAGGGCAACTGACGTGAGTTTAACCTTATAAAAGTTTTCTTTTGCATTTCCAGAAAGTAGTAGACCATATATAACTATCTCATGCTAGTGAATAGAAGAGTGTTCCACGACTTTTTTATTCTCCAGTATTACTTCCTTTTGTAAATATTCTTATAGTTTTTATTTTATGTTTTTCAGAAACCTGTTGGCCGACTTATAATTGGAGTGGCAGCTATGCTCGTTTCATGTTTGATATTGCTAAGCCTTATGTTTTTTCTAGGGAAGCAAGTCTTCTATGAGCAGAATCAGCAGTTTTTTAACGCCAAGAATGACCTGCGATGGTGGCATTTGGATGAGATTCTTATTCTGGTAGTAA